GTGTGCCCCTCCTCCCCGCAACCAAAACACTTCATAACTGATGATGTTGCAAAAATCACATAGTCATAATCATCTACTTTAACGTAAAAACGGAGGTTAAGCTCCGCATTCCGATTGTTCAGTATCATATACACTTGTCTGCGGTGAGACACTACGTGTTTCAGTAACTGAGACTTACATCCAGACAGCATCTTTTTTACGGGAGAAACAAGTTTCCCGTGTCTGGACAGTTCTCTACTGAGGAACTCATCAGTTATGAAGGGAGGGACATTAGAAAGTACAACTTTGGTTGCGGGAAGCATCAGCGGCTGTACTTGTACAAACATTTCTCTCACCACGATGCCCGTCTCGATGACGCGGTTCACTTTCTCCACCTGATCCAGAAAGATCACCACCGCGCTGTTCATCCGCGCCAGGGACTTAATGCTGCTGTGCCCGACCTTCTCTCCCACAGCCAGCCCGATCTCCTCCACAGTGCATGGGAAGCCGGCTGAGATTTTAATGCCGTGCTTCCTCGTGAGTTTGGCAAACTCTCCATTTACCATGGCGTCAGACGCCGGCCGGCGAGACACCGGCAGGAGAAGCCCACAAAACACCCCAAAAACACCACCAAAAAGCACGAAAAGTGAAGCAAATCAAACCACCACCGATAAACTATATCAAATGAACACCCATTACACCAAAATAAACGGAAAATATAACGAAAAAGTTTCGCTCTTCTCTTTCTCTGACACCTCAAAATCTCCCAGCATGCACCAGAAGAAGAAGAAGAAGAAAAAGAAGAAGAAGAAGAAGAAGAAGAAGAAGAAGAAGCCGACTCCGAGCTGTCCGACTTCAGGCGAGCTTTTTGAGACCTCCCCCGGCTGCGATCGGCTATTCTCGTCTACTTTCGAGGCGAGCCGCAACGCGTCTCAAACAAGTCTATAAAGTATGCGATGATAAAACCCACCCATTTAGAGGGAAGATATGATTGGTCAATTGTACTGTCATTTGACATTACTCTCTCGTTTAGTTACTAGGCTTGTTTGAGACAAGCGAGACCTGCGCAATTGCGATCAACGTCTTGCTAGTGCGTTGCATGATGGTTAGTCATTTTGTCCGACTTGCTTTGGAGGCTCGCCCACATGAGACGTTGAAATCTCGCGGGACAAAGATGCCCGCAGACTTGAGAGCGAGGCGAGGCGGCGCAGTAGGCTTGTTTGAGACGAGCTGCGGCTCGCCTCGAAAGTAGACGAGAATAGCCGATCGCAGCCGGCGGAGGTCTCAAAAAGCTCGCCTGAAGTCGGACAGCTCTTCTTCTTCTTCTTCTTCTTCTTCTTCTTCTTCTTCGGAGTCTTTTATTGTCAGCGGAGTAGGCGTTATGGAGCTATTTATATGAGTAGGATTGAGGCTGCGGAGGCTCGATGAGCTAGGATTTGTCTTCTTCTTCTTCTTCTGCTTCCTTTACTTATTCTTCTTACTTATTTCTTCTCTTCTTCTTCTTCTGCTTACTTCTTCTTTCTTCTTCTTCTCTTCTTCTTCTTTATTCTTCTTCTTCTTCTTCCTCGGTTTTTTGGCGGATTGTCGGCCTTGACTCGGGTTTTGCCGATTATAAAGAATGCACATATGTTGTTTAATCGTTAATGTCAGATATGTACTAAAGTGAATACGATTTGTTTCCTGCTCAGGATTAGATTCAACTTTATTGTTATTGCACATATTACAGGTACTGAGACAACGAAATGCACTTTAGCTTCCAACCAGGTGCAACAAGCAGTAAAGTGAAAAGTAATGTACACAATCTACAGAATAAAATATAGAATGAATTGAATGATGAATAAACAGGGTATGAATACACTAGATATACACAGCGGCCTGTGAGTATGAACAGTGTGTATGAATATGCTAAGATATATAAAGTATGAAAACGGTAAGCAGTGCAAGTACATTATAACATATATAGATATTAATGTCATGATGATAAACAATGTGGAACAATGATGAAAAATGGGAATGGAAGTGGCGACGTAAAACTGACACAAAACAACAACAAACTTTTGCCGAGCCAATTGGAGGGTTTCATCACCAGCACGTGGTAAAAACCACCAATGAGCGCTCAGCTCGAGATACCAGCGAGTCGTTTCCCATCAAGCATTTCGCTTCCGCAGCCCGTGGAGAGGAACTGCGCCGCCTCGCCGCGCCTCGCTCTCAAGGCTGCGGGCGTCTTTGTCCTGCGAGATTTCAACGTCTCATGTAGGCGAGACTCCAGAGCAAGTCGGACAAAATGACTAACCATCATGCAACGCACGAGCAAGACGTTGATCGCAACTGCGCAGGTCTGTGCAGGTCTCAAATAAGCGCAGTTTCTCTGCCCCCAGGGCTCACAGTTATTCCTGGGTTTGCGTGCAGGGCCTTTTGATGGTGATGGGAGATGTCGGGTATCGAACACGGAAACGTCAGTGGCTCACAGCGTGGGGACCCCTCGGGCTGCACGTTTATTTCAGGAGTCTGCAGACAGGAAACATTCACTCAACATCTGTCTGGTGGACAACATTCAAAATGTTGGAAGAAGAAGACAAGAGAACGTTCCATAGCTCGACCTGAATAGAATAAAAGGAGCTGAGATGGAAACTGCCGGATCATTCTGAAGGTCTCTGCAGCTAAATGGTTGTTGCTGTTTTCTTCTCTGGTTCCTCTGAATAAAGTGAATAATAAATAATAGTGTGTGTGTGTGTGTGTGTGTGTGTGTGTGTGTGTGCGTGTGCGTGTGCGTGTGTGTGTGTGTGTGTGTGTGTGTGTGTGTGTGTGTGCAGCTGGAGATGGATGGTCTGCTATTATTCATACAGAATGTACACTAAGAATAAAGGTCAGGGCTTTACGAACTACAGAAAATAAACTCCAAACGTCGTCAAAAACACGACCAGATCATTTCATGTCGTGATTTTCACATTTATTCGACATGTTTTCTTTCTGCTGGTTACATTTTTTGATTGGATGTTATTTGTTTTTATGAGGTTAACGGCTGCACACAAAAAAAAGTTTCAGATTGTTTTGCCATTTTTTATTGTACTTGTACTTCCTGAGTATCGATGGCTGTGTGTTTGTACACTTGTGATGTACTTGTACTTCCTGAGTATCGATGGCTGTGTGTTTGTACACTTGTGATGTACTTGTACTCCCTGAGTATCGATGGCTGTGTGTTTGTACACTTGTGATGTACTTGTACTCCCCGATTATCGATGGCTGTGTGCAGCAAAGGTTTCCTGACATTTCTGCGTTAATGAAACACGGAGCCTGGAGATGATAATCAGACGAGGAAAAGGGCACGAGCAGCTTTCTCCTGCGTCATCCTTAAATCACCTTCCTGATCTCAGGAACAAACAAACAACAAACAGCGTCTAAAAGAAGGAGAGACAGAGGCCTGACCTCTGATAGGTAGTGAACCTACAGGTGGAGAGATGTTCACTCCTTAGTCCTCCTGAGGAGCTGCTATAGAGACACAGGTTCAATTCCAATAGTCCATTTAGCTTAGGAACCTTCCTAACGGAGTGAAATGACCCGGAAGTACGTCACTGGCAGCCATGATAAGTGCCGTTCCAATTCTCCAAATGAAAGGAAAGGAGGTTTCAAACTTCCTTTATAACCTCCTTTAGCTTAGGAACCACTGGACCTCCCTAACCGAAAGGAGAGGAGAAAATGCTGCCCCACAATGCATTGCAGCCGCAGCATTTGCCATCACAACAGTCGGCCGTTCACGGAAACAACCGATTATGACCGAGAAATGATATCATGAAAGTTACGGTGCTTATTAAGCATTTTAAAACATATGTGGTAAGTTGCCAAAGTGCTTTGTTTTGAACGTTCATCAGTATTATAATCAAAAAGAGAAATATGAACGTTAGTTTTTACTGAAATGATCAAATAAAGTCAACATTTCACAGTCTTTACTGAGCTGTGTGGGGTTTGTTCAACTTTTAAAAGATGTTTGAATGGTGATATACACAGTGATAGATGTTAAGGACTAACGTTTATAATAAATACATCTGTATTGAATTTAAGATCTTTTCATACAATCATACGTATTGGGATCATTTGTATTAATGTGGACCGGAGGGAGAGGGTGACGAGCATAAGTTTCACTTTCCTTTTTTATTTCAATTCCAACTTTGGTCATGAAGAATATGTTTCTCTGTTGTCCACGTTCATAAAGCATAAAGCAACAGCATCAGAGCACGGTGCAGAGTCTCTAGATGAGTTTACAGGAGTCCCTCGTTCTTATTGAACATCCATGTTGTAGTCCGCTGTATAGAAAACTGTAGTCTCCATAGTTTCCCCACAGCAGCAGACGCACATTCAGGACGTCCGCTGGCGCATCATAAACACGTCGGATAGTGAAAGTGCATTCGGATTCTCTAAAGTACCGCGGTCTCTTCTCCTAAGTCCTTTTGAATTCTCCTATCCACTATCCCTTAACCACTCAGAGGTCAAGGAATAGGAGATAGGGTTAGAATTTAGGAGCTGATTTTTGGATTATCGGAACGCAACCACAGACTCATCATTACCAGAAACTCCTGTCCATGATCCGACGGCCCCCCGAGGTTAATTTAGCCTCCTGCTGTGAGTCACAGTCTGACCCTTGACCTCTGTACAACAACACACAGGACGCCATCGACATGTTAATATTAACCTCACAGATGCGTCATCGATCACAGCCAAACACGTCGGCAAGTTTATCTGATGCCTGAACACATGAATAATATCTGACAGCAGCAGGAGCTATAAATACGGGGGGGCAGAGCCAGCATCAGAGAGGAGGCTAAGAAGAGGAACACACATTTTAATCAACGAAGAAAGAGTCCTAGGAGCTGAACATAGCCACCACAGAAGAAAAAATACTTGTGATCTTCTGGAGGACCTTCGTCATCTCTGTGAGTGACTTCACATTTTCCTGTTCCGTAGTTAGAGCTTTGAGAAGTTCAGGGGTAGAAAACCATGCTCTGTGTTTTGCTCAGTTTCTGGAGATGGAGAGTGTTCGTGCGGCCGTCTACCTGTCCGTCTGTCTGTCCCTGCTGACCTCCCTGTGTCAGGGTCAAAGGTCACCGGAGACGCTCTTCGGACTCACAGACAAAGAGCTGGTGAGCCATCTGTCTGCGTACAGGATCTCTGCAGCGTATTTACATGCTTCTATTCTGTATATCGTAAAGATCATAGCTAATTAAAGTTGTATCCAAATGTTTAAAGGGAACATCGAAATAGAATTAATGAGGGTTTCAATGTTTTCAAATGTAATTGATGTGGTCAAATTATGAATTTTAAGCTAATACAATGTGTAAAATGTTGTCAAGAAAATGTCATAGAGGGAATTATTAATAATCAAGAAGTTTTCATATTAACCAATGAAGCCAGGTTATGTTGCATTAAATTATTTAGTGACGATAATTTGAATAAATGAAGCTAAATTATATATTTAAAATAACAGCCATAAGGTGACGAGATGATTTATAATAAGCTAATCCAAAAGGTTAAAATGATCAATTTAACGTATTATGTTATTATTAAGTGATGAGTTAGATTATTAAATCGAAATATTTTTTACAAAAGTTATTTTAACTCATTATTATAAAATCAGATGTCATTTAGGTGGTGGGTTAATGTGTTACAAATATTTTTCTATTAATAATATTAGTCTGTTCTTTATCTGACTGCACAGACAGCTTTAGTACACATACACATTTAACACAAGTGGAAAAAATGGCGATGTTAATTTGAAATTGAAAGTCAGCGTTATGAATTAAACACATAATGTCTAAAAAAGTTGGTTATGCTCAACATTTTCTGAATCCACTATATTAAAAAAAAATCTGATTTATGCACCTTTAAAGAGCAAATAAATACTGTGTGTGTGTGTGTGTGTGTGTGTGTGTGTGTGTGTGTGTGTGTGTGTGTGTGTGTGTGTGTGTGTGTGTGTGTGTGTGTGTGTGTGTGTGTGTGTGTGTGTGTGTGTGTGTGTGCGCAGGCTGCTCTCCTGGATCAGGCTGACAGCAGTGTGTCTCTCTCTGTGGAGAAGAAGGCCAGCGTCATCCCCCGGGTAACACCAGCTGTCAATCAATCACATCTCATTCATTCATTCATGTCCTTTGTGTTTCCTGTTCTGCACTAACACGTTTACAGTCTGTCATCAACATGAAACATGTTTATTTATCAAATGACATCACTTCCTGTCTCTGGGCTGTGTTCAGGGACATTTTGAAGAGAAAACCTGTCTCCCTGTCCCCTATCTCTCTATCCCTCCCTCCTGTCTCCCCTGTCTGTCTCTCATGTATCCCTCTCTCCTGTATCCCTCTCTCCTGTCTCTCTCTCCTGTATCCCTCTCCTGTCTCCCCCTCTCTCCTGTCTCTCTCCCCTGTCTGTCTCTCATGTATCCCTCTCTCCTGTATCCCTCTCTCCTGTCATTCTCTCCTGTATCCCTCTCCTGTCTCCCCCTCTCTCTATCTCCTGTCTCCCTGTCTCTCCCTCCTGTCTCCCTCTCTCCTGTCTCACCCGTCTCCCCTCTCTCCTGTCTCCTGTCTCCTCTCCCCCTCCCTCCTCTCTCCTGTCTCCCCCCTCTCTCCTGTCCTCCCCTCTCTCCTGTCTCCCCCTTTCTCCCTCTCTCCCATCTCCCTCTCTCCCTCTCCCCCGTCTCTCTCTCTCCCTCTGTCTCCCTATCTCTCTCCCCTCTCTCCTGTCTCTCTCTCTCCTGTCTCTCTCTCTCCTGTCTCCCTCTCAGTGTGATGTGGGCGAGCGATGTGCGATGAAACATGGCCCTCGTATCGGTCGGCTGTGTGACTGTCTGAGAGGAACGGCCTGCAACACCTTCTTCCTGCGCTGCTACTGAACACACACACACACACACACACACACACACACACACACACACACACACGCACACACACACACACACACACACCACACACACACACACACACACACCTTTCTCTCTGCACATCTCTGTTTCAGTTTCAGTGTCTGTCCCTCAGATTCATTTATTTTTCTTAAAATAAAGATTCTTCATTAAGCTGCTCGGCTCACATGACTCCATCATTTTTTAAAGTGCCTGCAGTATAAATATATACAGTACAAGTTCCTGTAGTCAAAGAATTTGCAGTAAATGTATCAGCAGTAAAAGTATCTGTGTGTAACGAAGGTAACTTTGTTACTATGGACTGACGGGTTCGGGCCTTGCAATATTGCATTATTATTATTACATTTCATTTGTTAGACGCTTTTATCCAAAGCGACTTACATACAATCAGTACTGTGGACAAACCCCACAGGAGCAATTTCGGGTGAAGTGTCTTGCCCAGGGACACAACGACATGCTGACGCAGTGGGACTCGAACTTGCTACCCTGTGATTCGAAGTCCAGCACACTACCCACTGAGCCACAGCCTCCCACATATTGCACATGTGGGTTAGCACTTTATGAAACAACTTCCCTTTGAACAGAAATAATGTCACCCAGCACTAGTAGTGAACAGTTTGCACATTATTAGCGTGATTTGCACAGTACAGTTTAGCATTGCATATTTGCACATTGTTATATAAATTATACTATTTATTGATGTAGTATTTATTAAATGATTAAACCGTATTAATTGGAATGTCGTCTGGCAGATGCTGGTCGGGTCCTCGGCTCCACCTGAAAAGAGAGGGGGGTTAGCGAGAGCGCCAAAAGTGTTTATGATTGTGTAAGAATGACAGTGGTTGAGATTAATCATTGTGTGCAAATAATATGTTTGAGCGTGTATATGTCATGACGTTAAGTTGCATTAATTGTATAAGTGAACACTGTGTAAAGTTTACGTCCATCGCTTACCCATGCTGTTTCGTCCTGTGTCCGCGCCTCGGGTGGACGGACACTATAATTTACAGTTTTGTACTATGTTCAATCTGAATTTTATATTGATTCTGACTTTTCTACATCCAACTCACAGGTTTATCATTACTTTGAGAAAAAAGATTATTAATGTAACCCTTTTAGAAGATATGGTCATTTGTTCTGGGAATGTCATTTTCGAGACTGAGACCTGAAAAACAGGCTCAGCGCTTAACAGGTTAATAAGTGATCACTACAACTATTAACTTTATTGTGAAATTAAAACAGAACGGTAAAATAATAGTTTCCGGTCTATTCTGAGCCAGATCTCTGTAGATAAATAAATAACTAAGCCAGATGTGTAATATTTAATGCAGCCGAACCATTTATTCCAATGCATTCATGTGATGACTTTCAAAGAGTAAAGCAAGCACTGCTGAATAAAGTATGATTTTATCTTTTACGAAACGTTTTTTTTTCACTATGGAATGCAGTTGGAGGTCAACCAATCACAGAGCTTGAGAACTAATCACGGGTTTGTCAAGCAAAGCACATGGTGTAGTCCTCAAACGATAGCTGAGGATTATGGGTAGTGTAGTGTCTTCTGCCATCCTAAACTCAGATACAACTATTTGTTTCTCAGAGTTCGAAGGGGAAAACCACAAAAGCATTGCACACAATTTAAAACCAATCAATGTTGTGGTAATTAACAGGGATAATCTGGTGTTTTTGAGTTGATGAGTAGTGCAGATATCACTGTCAAATCGATCGACAGTAAAGAGAATACTTATTTCCGGGTGTAAAATCCTCCATTATTCAATGGGAATGGACGCTCACATTATGGCCGTATCCACCATTGAGGTCACCGAGGTCCGGACCTCGGTAATATTTTCCGAGCTGTGTATAACAAAACTTGTGAAATAATTGCACTAAACGGGATTCTTTGTAGTACTTCCATTACTACTGCCGATGGGGGCGCTGCATAACTACGTAGCCTCGGTTTAAAACAAACAGAAGAAGACGACATGTATCAACAAACCACCGCAGCCCGGAGTTGTATTGGAGCAGCGAAGGAGTGATGAAGTATCTAGAGATCTGAGTCCAGTGGGCTGCTTGTGTTTCTGTTCATCAGGACATCGTATGACCAGCAGATCCTGTGTGAACGCTCTACGTTAGTCAGTGGACGTCCGACAACATGCACACTAACTTATATTGCAGCTTTAGGCTATACTTTGGTTTAAATTGCGTGAATAAACTAGCTAGAGAGCTAAAGTTAATTACATTCATCCAATGTCAGAAGGATTACCTTTTCAAACGTATAATGCTTTTCTTTCATTTCAATTTGAGTAAAACATTGAAGATATAACATTGTATTGTTTTCTTTTTACACTGACTCAGATAATGAGAAGACT